ACTCAATAGTTATATTTTATGAAACACCCTGTATAAATTTTTAAAAAACCTTAAAATATGTAAAACAACAAAATAAAATATACATGTTTAAGAGTTTTCCGAAAAACTCACCGGTTTTTAAATAAAAAATATTCTAATATTTGAGGGGTGGTTTCACCCCCTTAGAATTCGAGTTTCGAAAAATCCCTTCTTATCGAACCTCTACACCCTAAAGTCAATCCGTTTTCCAAAAATCAGCTTTTTACGTCAAGCGCTTTAAGCAGGATCGTGATTAATCAATGACCAATTAATCAATTTTTCGAAACACCCTGTATACATTTTTAAAAAATCTTAAAATATGTAAAAAAGAAAATAAAATATACGTGTTCAAGCGTTTTTCGGAAACTTGACCGTTTTTAAATAAAAATATTCTAATATTTGAGGGGCGGTTTCACCCCTTAGAATTCGAGTTTCGAAAAATCCCTTCTTATCGAACCTCTACACCCTAAAGTCAATCCGTTTTCCAAAAATCAGCTTTTTACGTCAAGCGCTTTAAGCAGGATCTTGATTAATCAATGACCAGATTTTTCGAAACACCGTGTATACATTTTTAAAAAATCTTAAAATATGTAAAAAAAGAAAATTAAATATACGTGTTTAAGCGTTTTTTCGGAAACTTGACCGTTTTTTAAATAAAAAATATTCTAATATTTGAGGGGTGGTTTCACCCCCTTAGAATTCGAGTTTCGAAAAATCCCTTCTTATCGAACCTCTACACCCTAAAGTCAATCCGTTTTCCAAAAATCAGCTTTTTACGTCAAGCGCTTTAAGCAGGATCGTGATTAATCAATGACCAATTAATCAATTTTTCGAAACACCCTGTATACATTTTTAAAAAATCTTAAAATATGTAAAAAAGAAAATAAAATATACGTGTTCAAGCGTTTTTTCGGAAACTTGACCGTTTTTTAAATAAAAATATTCTAATATTTGAGGGGCGGTTTCACCCCCTTAGAATTCGAGTTTCGAAAAATCCCTTCTTATCGAACCTCTACACCCTAAAGTCAATCCGTTTTCCAAAAATCAGCTTTTTACGTCTAGCGCTTTAAGCAGGATCGTGATTAATCAATGACCAGATTTTTCGAAACACCTTGTATACATTTTTAAAAAATCTGAAAATGTGTAAAAAAAGAAAATAAAATATACGTGTTTCAGCGTTTTTTCGGAAACTTGACCGTTTTTTAAATAAAAAATATTGTAATATTCCACCCCCCTTTTTACCCCCTTAGGGGATGAATTTTTAAAAATCCTTTTTTATCTTACGTAAACATCATAAAAGGAACCCCTGTGCAAAATTTCAGCTTTCTAGGGTCAAGGGTTTGGTCTGGGCGTTGATGAGTCAGTATCAGTCAGGACAGTCAGATTTATATATATAGATAAATTAAATATTGACGTGCATAGTGTAAATAGTTTAGAATAATTACTGCAAATAAATATTTTAGTAACTACTAATTTCGCTACTAACTACTAAATCACAATGGATAAAAAACATTTAAGTTGTGTAGTTTGTAAAAAAGTTACTAGTGACAAAGTTATTGTTTTTCATGAAGGCAGACTATAAAAATGCAAAGAATTTTTAAAAGTGCGCCAACAACATGGTTTAAAATTTAAAGAAGTGGTTTTACCAGAAAACATAGTCCCGACAAAAGGGTACCATGTACAGTGCTAAAAACATAAGTATTCTGGAATTTTATTATATTACCATTGTTAATCTTTCTAAATAGATTCAAAAGTAAGTAAAAGTGCTTTACTTTTATGCTTAGGCGTTAAAATGACTTTTTTATATTGTTAATCAGGTCGCAAAAATTAATAATAATATAATAGAATAGAATCGTGATTACTCAATAGTTATATTTTATGAAACACCCTGTATAAATTTTTAAAAAACCTTAAAATATGTAAAACAACAAAATAAAATATACATGTTTAAGAGTTTTCCGAAAAACTCACCGGTTTTTAAATAAAAAATATTCTAATATTTGAGGGGTGGTTTCACCCCCTTAGAATTCGAGTTTCGAAAAATCCTTTCTTATCGAACCTCTACACCCTAAAGTCAATCCGTTTTCCAAAATCAGCTTTTTACGTCAAGCGCTTTAAGCAGGATCGTGATTAATCAATGACCAATTAATCAATTTTTTTCGAAACACCCTGTATACATTTTTAAAAATCTTAAAATATGTAAAAAAGAAAATAAAATATACGTGTTCAAGCGTTTTTTCGGAAACTTGACCGTTTTTTAAATAAAAATATTCTAATATTTGAGGGGCGGTTTCACCCCCTTAGAATTCGAGTTTCGAAAAATCCCTTCTTATCGAACCTCTACACCCTAAAGTCAATCCGTTTTCCAAAAATCAGCTTTTTACGTCAAGCGCTTTAAGCAGGATCTTGATTAATCAATGACCAGATTTTTCGAAACACCGTGTATACATTTTTAAAAAATCTTAAAATATGTAAAAAAAGAAAATTAAATATACGTGTTTAAGCGTTTTTTCGGAAACTTGACCGTTTTTTAAATAAAAAATATTCTAATATTTGAGGGGTGGTTTCACCCCCTTAGAATTCGAGTTTCGAAAAATCCCTTCTTATCGAACCTCTACACCCTAAAGTCAATCCGTTTTCCAAAAATCAGCTTTTTACGTCAAGCGCTTTAAGCAGGATCGTGATTAATCAATGACCAATTAATCAATTTTTCGAACACCCTGTATACATTTTTAAAAAATCTTAAAATATGTAAAAAAAGAAAATAAAATATACGTGTTCAAGCGTTTTTTCGGAAACTTGACCGTTTTTTAAATAAAAATATTCTAATATTTGAGGGGCGGTTTCACCCCCTTAGAATTCGAGTTTCGAAAAATCCCTTCTTATCGAACCTCTACACCCTAAAGTCAATCCGTTTTCCAAAAATCAGCTTTTTACGTCTAGCGCTTTAAGCAGGATCGTGATTAATCAATGACCAGATTTTTCGAAACACCTTGTATACATTTTTAAAAAATCTGAAAATGTGTAAAAAAAGAAAATAAAATATACGTGTTTCAGCGTTTTTTCGGAAACTTGACCGTTTTTAAATAAAAATATTGTAATATTCCACCCCCTTTTACCCCCTTAGGGGATGAATTTTAAAATCCTTTTTATCTTACGTAAACATCATAAAAGGAACCCCTGTGCAAAATTTCAGCTTTCTAGGGTCAAGGGTTTGGTCTGGGCGTTGATGAGTCAGTATCAGTCAGGACAGTCAGATTTATATATATAGATAAATTAAATATTGACGTGCATAGTGTAAATAGTTTAGAATAATTACTGCAAATAAATATTTTAGTAACTACTAATTTCGCTACTAACTACTAAATCACAATGGATAAAAAACATTTAAGTTGTGTAGTTTGTAAAAAGTTACTAGTGACAAAGTTATTGTTTTTCATGAAGGCAGACTATAAAAATGCAAAGAATTTTTAAAAGTGCGCCAACAACATGGTTTAAAATTTAAAGAAGTGGTTTTACCAGAAAACATAGTCCCGACAAAAGGGTACCATGTACAGTGCTAAAAACATAAGTATTCTGGAATTTTATTATATTACCATTGTTAATCTTTCTAAATAGATTCAAAAGTAAGTAAAAGTGCTTTACTTTTATGCTTAGGCGTTAAAATGACTTTTTTATATTGTTAATCAGGTCGCAAAAATTAATAATAATATAATATGTCACAAAAGTATAATAATAATTATACTTTTGTGACGTTTGAAAAAAAATATATTTTATATTATGCTAATTTTTAAATAATTATTCGTCTTTTTATTCTTTCAGATACAAAATACTTAAATTAAAAAGTCTTCTTATTGAAAGGATTTCAATCATACATACATTTTTATTAAAAACTGTTTCTAAAAATGTTTCTTTTTATTTATTCAATATTAGTTAGTTTTTTTTAAGTTTTTACGACTGCAAAATGCTGTTACGTCAGCCGCATCGGCTGCCCACCAGGTCTCAATAAACTATCTTTCGCTCGCTTATAGATAGATACTCATAAGACTTTCTTCTTATCGCGTTCATTTAAAATCTTTATTCGCATCTGGCAAGTATTAAATCCCATTGAATTCGTCTGGCAATTAACACATATTTTTTAATATCATCTAATAAACACGCTGTAAAAATTTTAGAATGCCTAATGTATGTTTTCCAGGTATAATAATTAAACTTATTTGGAATGGTCTGGTTACACTTTAAACCCGAAAAAAAAGTCTGGCACACTTATTTCTAGGTTAAATAGATGCTAAAATTTAAGAATAAACAAATTTCAAGTTGCCTAAAGAATGTTTTTTGGATTTATTTTTTTGCAAATGTTATGGGTTGCGCAGTAGCGAAATACCCCCAACCCCCCAGCCAGACTTAGGATTCTGGGTTCACCAGTTAATAAACTATACATTTTTAGTTATTCTAGCTTGCCTAAAATATGTTCTCTAAATATGTCGTCAGCTCTTAGGCTATGTAGCCCGTCTCCAATTATGCCGAAATCGATACACATTTTTCTTCAATATTAAATCCATAGTCCCACCCTAATGAAGATGTCGCGCGTCGTATCCAACTTTGCAGGGTGGGACCGCGGGCACCGTTGCTCACATAGCCTACCCACCAAATTTGATCGGACGACATCAACTTTTGACGTTTCTTACGTCAAAACTAACTGTCACAGTGACACGTGTCGTACAACTTCGTCAAGTTTGCCTTCGTCGAATCTATCGACATACCAAATTTCATTTAAATCGGACCATTTTTTCTAAGCCGTAGACTGTCCTTACCACTTTTCCTCTCGCTTGTTTTGTCGCGTATCGTGTCACAGCCTTGAATTTTTACTCACAGCGCGCGTAAAGAAGTTTTATCTCAAAAATGATTTTAACATAAACAATCATTGTCTCTCATTCAATATGATTAGAAAATACTTCAGAAGAGCCATGTTTTTGTTACAGATGTAGTGTTTCTCCAAAGTTTGCAGCTAGGAAAGATTGTAACTGGAAGATTGAATCCTTTGCGGGTATGCCAGCCGGCAGTAGTCCGCAATTTTGCAGCCATTACCCGACAGTATCAATTAGCGTATTGTTACACAATAATTGACCATAATGAAAGAAACGTGGTACCAACCATCCATCAAGATGGTAAAGGAACACGGCAAATATCCGATGGCATACTTAGTGCCTGTTTTCCATTTGACCCATATGTATTGAGCCAGTAAGTAATTTCAGTGACATATGTTTAGACTGTCCATCAAGAGAATACAGGGTGGCGCACCTCATTAGCCTCGGTTAATTATACGAAAACGGAAAGATGTAGAAACAAAATATTTTATGGGTATATATGGGGAGGCAATGTGTACAATTTAAAATTATTTTAAAATATACAGGGTGTTTCAGAACTAAGATCCATACCAAAGTTATATTTTTTTCTTATGGGCTCAAAAAAAGTTATTTATTATAAGGGTTAAATATGTTTAAAATCTTTAGTTTTTGAGATATTTAAAGATATTTAAATTTGCATGCTACAATAGAATAGATTATTAACACTCTGTACATTACTTTTCAGAATTAATTCTTGTGCTGAGTTTAAAGATAGAGATATAGACTTACAGAAAAATGTTACTGCTTCCTTAAATTTAAACAGGGGTATTGAAAATTGCTGATCTATTTTAAGAATTTATTTTACATAAAAACTTCGTTATTTCAAATACAACACCCTGTATTTTTTAAAATAAATCGAAGCAGATTTAAATGCTGTTTTAAACTATATTAGGGTTTCCTATACCTATCTAACTCAGATTTTGAAAAAGAGCAATTTTTAAGTAAAATGGCAACTAAGAGGGATAGTGTTGCCATGGCAATTGACAAGTGACAGTTAGTAGCTATTTTCAAAATCGAAATTAGTTTATGGACTTATTTAAATTTATACCAGTTTACTTTTATTTAATTTACATACAATAGTTTAATAAATAATATTTATTATATATGTATTTATTATTTTATCAAGAAAAACGAAAAAGTAGTTCTTTGATTTATTTTGACTTGTAGATGATTTGTAGATATATGGATTTTCTATAAAAGAGCCAATTATGGCAAATTCATTTTCTTCACTTCCAACGACAGGTTTCTGCCTAATAGCACAGAATATCTAGCTACGCAACAGAAGCCTCGTTACACGTATAAAATCGTAGGTCTCAAAAGGAGACAGGCTTTAAAAGCCTGTCTCCAAATCAGATATTTTGATGCGGTAGTTTCACTACTACATAACAGAGGGCGATAAATTTAAAAGAAAACAGTTTTCTACAAACGAAATTTAAAAGAATTTTATGCAGTGTTGCCATTGTGTAATTTATATTGTAATACTTCCTGATAAAGCCTACCTCAAATTTGCTACATCATTTAAACATATTAAAATAGATTAGAGCTCTTTTTTCAAACGTTTAAGTATTTAACTTGCCATGTTAGTTGGAGTTAAATCTTACGAGCTGAATTAAAATCACTTCCTGACATTTGATTCTAACTGAATCCTGAATTTTGATTGTAATTCGGCGACAATATAATAAATATTGTTCTACTATTATGACACCACTGACGTTCGATTATGTTCATACCGTATGATCGGGAAAAAACGGCGTTAGCGCTGGCTATGAAATGAAAATCGCTGTCATTTTATGTGTAAATTTATATGAAAAATGTCATCGATCGTCTTTTCCCAGCCAACTGGACGCCGTTTTTTTCGGTATCATACGGTATTTGATATATACTTGCGTATTTTTTATGACATTGCAATATTATGGTACCATGAAGCATATCAAGAGGTACCATAATAGTACCATATACGATACTATTTCCTGGCGTTTGATTGGGCTTAACTTGTGATGGTACTATGATGCATCTACTATGATGCATAGATAAAGTGGTACCTTAATATAGTACCATATTACGATACCACTTCCTGACGTTCGATTGGGCTCATATTTGATTATACTTGCGTATTTTTGATGGCATTGCAATATTATGGTACCATGAAGCATATCAAGGGGTACCATAATGTAGTACCATATTACGATACCCAAGATTGGGCCCAAATTTGATATACTTGTGTTTCTTTATAAAGATTTGTTTAATTAATAATTTTAATTTATTTTACGAATTTTGATTTATTGTACGATGTCGTGACAGCAACTTTTATGCCGAACTAATATATTATTAATTGTACCTGTGCCACTTTTTAAAATCTACCTAGGTCTATATAAATAACGTGGCAAACAGAAAAAAATTGTTATTATAGTATTTTTTTAGTCAATTAACATTTTTTGTACTGCATTTTAATAAATAATTTCCATTATTATTAAACGTATATTTCATTACTAACGTTTCAGCATTAATAAATATCACTATCAATCGCCCTATATATTATTAATTTTAAAGGTAATTAAAGTTATTTTCTTAGTTAACATAATAAAATAGTGTATATTAAAAATGTATTTTGAGAGCATATGTTTTCTAATAATATACTTAAAATTAAAACTATTTTAAAAGCCAAACGAATAATTAATATAAGTGTATCTGACAAGAAACGAAAAATAGAAAGAAATTATTATACACCAGAAAAAGAATGGGATGCCAATTAAAGTCTGTTTGAATCTGGCAACTGTGCATATTTAGCCGAGCTTCAAGACCGTCGACGTGCCGTCGATCTACGTCGATCCAAAACCGAAAGTTGAAAATTTCCAATTATATTGTAACATATCTATTTGTTCCGCCAGCAGATACTGCTTTATTTTTCTTGATAAAATAATGAATGAATAGTTATTAAACTATTGTAGGTACATTTAAGTAAACTGTTATAAATTATTAATAATAATGTCCATAAACTAATGTCAACTTTTAAAATAGTTACTTACTGTCACTAGAAAATTGCCATGGCAACACAAGCCATCTTGATTGCAATTTAATTTAAAAACCGAATTTTATTCAAACGCTGAGCTAGATAGGTATAGGAAATCCTAATATAGTTTGAAAGAGCATTTGAATTTGCTTCGTTTCATTTTAAAAAACACAGGGTGTTGTATTTGAAATAATGAAGTTTCTATATAAAATATATCCTTAAAATAGATAAGCAACTTTTGGTAGCCCTGTATAAATTTAAGGAAACAATACCATTTTTCAGTAAAGTTTATTTCTCTACTTTTAGATACAGGGTGTTAATCTATTCTATTGTAGCATGCAAATTTAAATATCTTTAAATATCTCAAAAACTAAAGATTTTAAACATAATTAACCAGGGTCGGCATGATTTAAATCGTGATTTAAATCTAAAAATTAATTTTATTGAAACTTTATAATAAATCAAAAAATAACTGTAAAAGTTATAAAAATCTATCCTAGAAAACTATCAAAAATATTTCTATAACAGATAATAAATCGAAAAATAAGTGTAAATTTTATAAAACTATATAACAATATCTATTCATCAATTTAAATGTTGAACCGATTTTTGAAGTAATTTCGTGTGAATCCATAAGACCGCTAAACGCAGGAATTTATTTTAAAATTTATTTATAAGTGACAAAAATTCGCTTGTCGAATACATATCATTCGGCAACTAGTGCAGAATTAGGTTCTTCTGATATGGAGACTATATCTTCATTCCCGAAAATCTATAATCGTTGTCAGAAAATATGTTGTTTTATTATTTTTTTTTGAAACGTTAGTATGTTTCCAAATTCTTACCGACATTTTGATTTGCAGTAAGTACTTTACACTTTGACATTAGATAATACTATTTTCATTCTCGACTTAAGACTATTTCCGAACAATAGTGTATTGTTTTATTAAGAGTATAAATTACACTTTTTTTGACGATGCTGTACATTTGAAGGACCATCGTAAAGCTATACCATCGTAAGCTTTTCCGACGTTACAAGGAGGCACAAAAAGTACATTTTTACTCCGAATAAAACACTATTTTTTAAAAAAATTACAAATAATTTTTTAATCAACTTCAAACATTGCAAATAATACAAACAGTAATCGAGAAACGATTTGTACACTCGTTGTATTTGACACCTAATATCAGTTTCATAATATATTTTTGTACTTTTGTGCTTAGGCGTAACAGTGCTTTACTTTTATGCCTATAGCCGTTAAAATGACAAAAATTAATACTTTTGAGACGTATGAAAAAAAATCCTTTTGATCTGAAGTGAGCGACTTTTTTGCGGAATATATTGGTGACCGATGAGGAAAAATGACACGCCCCGTAGAATTGTTAATGTTATCGGTATCGCTCAGAGAGAGTTATTAAGATTTAGCCATTTAGGATAGGACTTTAATTGGAGATAAGTCCTAGTCATTTGGAAATACGATTTAAATATTGTTTTGAATTAAAATCAAAAAAATCTGATATAAATCAAAAAAATCCAATTTAAATCAAAAATATCTGATTTTTTTTAAATCATGATTTTTTCCAACCCAGTAATTAACCCATAAAATAAATGCCTTTTTTAGGGCCCAAGAATCCAAAAATGATATAAAATACCGGGTGTTCCATAAGAAAAAATATAACTTTGGTATGGATCTTAGTTCTGAAACACCCTGTATATTTCAAAATAATTCTAAATTGTGCACATTGTCTCTCCACATATACCCATAAAATATTTTGTTTCTACATCTTTCCGTTTTCGTATAATCAACCGAGGCGAATGAGGTGCGCCACCCTGTATACGTTTTTGACAGAGAACATCGAAAACATCAACTACTACAATCACAACTGTCACTGTAGTATATTCTCTCGCTGGACAGATTATATTCATATATTTTATATTTTAATTGATTTTTTTATGACATTACTACATTTTTAGATCAGGTGAAAAAGTTCAGCCACTGTATAGAGACTATCAAGAAGATGTATGGAATAATGGCATAGAGTTTGATTCTAAAGATAATCAAGAAATCGATGATTTTCTTGATAACCCCAATGATGCGTCCACATCAAGTAGCCTTCGAAACTCGCAAAAATTCTCCTATGGCAGTTCGCCAGGGTTTAAATTTACATAATCTATTGGAAATGAACTGTTACTCTCTTGCTGTGATGTTGTTATGATGTGTAAAGGATAATTAAATATTTATAGTATTTAAAAATTGCCGTCTTATTTTTGTTATTTAAAAATGAACATTTGGATTTTAAAATATGGCACAATCCAAATTTGTCCGCTAATAGAAACCCTATTTAAGAAAGTGGCATTACAGTTGGCTTTGGAACAGTCATTATGTATAGTTTTTCTCATGTAACGTTGTACGCTTGATGTTTAGAAACAATTCTTATAGGAAAATACAGTAGAACTGTCAAAATCAAAGCTCACTTAATTAAAGTTAAATTACTTTCCCCCCGTTATGTCTTAATCAACTATTTTTAAAAAAAAATGTTAATTTTGATTATTCTTAAACGTTATATTCGACGTTATTCCAGAAAAACTCTAATTTGTGCTATTATTCATGTGAAGTACCACTAACTTTTTGAAAAATAAAAGTAGGCAACCCAAAATACGCGTATTAAATTATTAAAATGACAATTTAAATTTTAAAAAACTTGTTTACAATATTTTATGAGCGATTAACATTCTTGATTACAGTTAATTTATAAAATTCTGGCTCTTGTGAAACATGTTTTGATTATTTTATAGTGTCTATTGTCTCTTGTTTACGACATTCGCTATTAATTTAAAATATCAAGTTTTTCGTTTCTATAACTACAATAATTATAACATGTTTAGGTCCTTAGTTTTTGTTGCCAATACCAACAGTCTTAAAATATTCAAAAAAGGAGAATGTAGGCTTAAGTTTCATCATGTTAATAAGGTAAATAAGAAGTTCTTAATCATAAAAATTACACCTGAATAATTTATTTTAAGGTTATGTAGATTTTTGTGTCTATATATTTTATTTGATATATTTACTAAACTTTATGTTTATAAAGGATTTTGAGGCCATTTATATTATTAATTATTGTAGATTTTGTCGTGTACATTTGCTACAACTCCTGTAAGCCAGAGAAAGAAAATATATAAGGATATTAAAGAAGCGATAAAAGATATTAAAGATGGTTCGAAATTGTTAATTGGAGGTGCTTAAAGTGGATTTATTTCTATTTTAAGTTTTATGAGGCCATATAATTTATTTTTTTAGGATTTGGACTATGTGGCATTCCTGAAAATTTAATAGGAGCTCTAATACAGCACGAAGCTAAAGATTTAGTGGTTGTGTCAAACAACGCAGGTGTAGATAAATTTGGTCTAGGTCTACTACTAAAACAAAAGAAAATTAAACGTATGATAGCGAGTTATGTAGGTGAAAATGCAGAATTTGAGAGGCAATTTCTTTCTGGCGAACTTGAAGTCGAACTCACACCTCAGGTAAGTGTTTGTGATTTTTACAAAGATATGTTTGTTATTTGGAAACCTATAGGGTACTTTAGCTGAAAGAATTCGTGCTGGAGGATCAGGTGTACCAGCCTTTTTTACACCTACTGCTTATGGAACATTAGTTCATGAAGGTGGTGCACCTATCAAATATGACTCTACCGGGAAAGTGGAATTGGCCAGTAGCCAGAGGGAATCCAGATTATTTGAAGGAAAAGATTATATTATGGAGGAAGCCATTACTGGAGATTTTGCCCTTGTAAAAGCTTGGAAAGCTGATCCAGCTGGAAATTTAGTATTTAGGCAAGAATTTGTTAACACCCTTAACTTAATTGTTTAATGTTTTGCAATTGTTATAGGCTATCGGCAAGAAATTTTAATCCGACTATGGCAAGAGCAGCAAAGATAACTATTGCAGAAGTTGAGGAAATCGTGGAATTAGGTGCTATTTCCCCAGATGAGGTACATTTGCCTGGAATATATGTGGATCGTGTTATAAAGGGTGACAAGTATGAAAAACGAATTGAGGTAATTGAATTAATACATATAATACAGCAAATTTGTATTTTTCAGATTATTAATAAATTTATTATACAATATGTGTCAGAAATTTCAGCAAGAAACTTTTTGGTACATACTGTATCAACTAATCTACTTTAATTATTATAGCGTGTGACTGTACAAAAAACATCTGATAGTGCAGATTCAGTGGTAAAAAGGAATCCCGCTGCTGAAAAGCGTGAAAGAATTGTACGCAGGGCTGCTTTAGAATTTAAAGATGGCATGTATGGTATCCTTTTTTATTAAAAAAATATATAGCTAAAATATAGCTATTATGGTGTGATCAAATTATGCAAGAACTATATTAAAAAGAAATATGATTTCTACAATTTATTTTCTTAATAACTAATGTTGCAACTCAAAATATTTATCGAGAGATTATTACACTTATTATTTAATTTTGCAATAAAAAAAATAAGCTAAAAATAATCTTCATGTCAGGGATACAAATTACAATAATAATTTATTAAATGTAAATATCTTTAAAATATGTAATTGTATGTAATTGTCTTTATTTCCCACAAAAATAAATACAAGAGCAAGTAATTATATAATAAACTTAATGCTTTTTTTTAATTATTATTTTACATTAATAATTCAATTATTGTAGCAATAATTTTTTATATAATAATGAGTATAAATGTCTAGATAAGTGGGGGTATAGTAAATACTACTCCAAATAAAATAAAAAACACTAAAACAGAGAGAGAGAGAGGTGAGAGAGATTATAGAGGTGTTAAATTTTATTTATGTTATGTTTTTTCTCAGTATAAAAATCGCGACTTCTAATTTGGTAAATCTTAGTTTGATGTACCGCTATACACCGGGTGCGTCTCAATATTGGCTCACCCCCTGTAACTTTTTTATTTTTTCAGATAAAAAAAACGAAATTTGGTATGTTAGTATATGACAGAAATTAGGATTGATTGACGTATTCAATTGTTTTTGGTCACTTCCTGTTTTACCGGAAATGACTACAACTTTTGATTTTTAAATGGCACCATTGGAATTTTTTTACTTTATTCAATTCTGAATAGAATGACATATCATATGTCAACTTGTGATATGTGACTTGTGTGTATTTTAAATTTCAATCTACAGTGCCATGGCTATGTTAAAAACATTAATTCTTGATCAAGGAGCCTTGGGAAAATAGATTAGATCGTCCAATGTTTTTAGTGGCTTGTCCTGGCCGGTTATTAAATGGCCGTATTGTATTTTTAATGATATCTCAATTTTTTCAAATGGAACGAAGGTGGCTCATTAGCATATTTGGAAAAAGCATTTTTTTAAGAATAATTTGATACCATACACTGTAGTGATGGGTTGTTATTTAACTATCTGATATTTTATAACAATTATTTAGAAATAACATAACGCAACCGTTACTACTTCTAAAAAATAACAGATATAAAATAACGACACGTAGAGATCGGCCGCTCGTGAAACGAAAAACGAAGTCGGCGCTCTGCACCGCCACGAAATTCTATGCTGCTCGAAGCAATTCCAAAAAACAACTAGTATGGATGGAAAACATGTTATTTCGTCAACCATTGATACAGGCGGCGAGACAACGGACAACGGAGTGGGGAATGCGCTACGGCGAACGTAGCTGCTTCGGTCGACGCCGTCGATGGTCGTATTGGGTTTGCAACAGCTTAAAAATAATAGGATATAAAAGAAGCAGGTATTTTGAAACAGTTGTGGGCATAATGCCTGGCGGTCGAGATAACAGGAGTGGGAAAGAAACGCTGCTGCATCGGTCGATTGTCGATGGAGGCTCGCAACGGGTTGGAGAAGCAGTCATTTTAGATACGTTGTTTTTCAACCTGTTACGAGCATAACAGGGTGGTGGTCGAGCTAATCGGAATGGGAAAGGAACGCTGCTGCATCGGTCGATTGTCGATGGAGGTTCGAAACAGATTGGAGAATAACGCATCAGTTGTTTTAGATACATTGTTTTTCAACCTGTTAACGAGCATAACGGGCGGAGGTCGAGATATTATGGCGCTGTATGTTTCAGTACGTTATTACGTTTCAATATTTAAGTGTTTATTTATGGTGGGTTCATACAGCCAAATAAAATAAAATAAGAATAAAATAAAATAAGAAATAAGGAATTCTTATTTGTGTGCGTTCATACAGTCAAATAAAATAAAATAAGAAATATATATTTGCTCATGCGCAGTACGATGAAGCTGGATAAAAGTTAACTTTTACGATTGTTTATAGTAATTTTACTATTTTTAGTATATTTATTTATTCGTTGCCTACTATATTATACATTTTACTTATGTGAAATTATAAAATAAATTAAATCCAAACTGAAAATATTTGTAGGTTAGAATTAAGCGTGCGCAAAGCCGTTTTCACATAAAATAAAACAAGAAGTTAAAAGATAAAGACTTCTTATTTTATTTGTTATTTTATTTGGCTGTATGAACGCATGTACGGTATCCCATATAACCAACTTTCTTATTTTATTTTATTTTATTCTTATTTTATTTTATTTGGCTGTATGAACCCACCATTCTGAAAAATTTTCAGAATAATATTTTAAGATTTTTTAAAAATTATACAGGGTGTTTTGAAAAATCTGGTCATTGATTAATCACAATCCTGCTTAAAATCCTCGACGTAAAAAGCTGATTTTTGGAAAACGGATTGACTTTAGGGTGTAGAGGTTCGATAAGAAGGGGTTTTTTGAAACTCGAATTCTAAGAGAACCACCCTCAAATATTAGAATATTTTTTATTTAAAAACCGGTGAGTTTTTCGAAAAAACTCTTAAACACGTATATTTTATTTCGTTGTTTTACATATTTTAAGATTTTTTAAAAATATATACAGGGTGTTTCATAAAATATGACCATTGAGTAATCACGATTCTGCTTAAACTGCTTGACGTTTAAAGCTGATTTTTGGCAAACGGATTGACTGTGGGGTTGAGGTTCGATAAGGAGGGGTTTTTCGAATCTCAAATTCCAAGAGGGTGAAAACGCCCCTCAAATATTACAATATTTGTTATTTAAAAAACGGTTAGTCTTTCGGGAAAACGCTTGGACACGCATAATTCATTTTGTTTTTTTACATATTTTGAAATTTTTTAAAAAATTATACAGGGTGTTCCAAAAAGTTGAGTAATTGATTAACCACGATTCTGCTTAAACCGCTCGACGTTTAAAGCTTATTTTTGGCGAATGTGAGAAAATTTTATCCAGTTTGTATCTTAATAGAAATTCTTGCTTTCCTTTATCATCACCATTACAAATTATTAATTCGACGCGAACGAAGTCGCGGGTACACGCTAGTTTAAGTGTAAAATTAATTCGAATTCTAGTGTGTAGTTGGTTTACTTATGAAGAATATACTACACATTTTCTTATATTGCTATTTTTTGACCGCAAATGGTAAAATTATAACTAAGAGCTTCTCGCCCGTCGAGTGAAATGCACCCTGTACACTGCTACGCAATTCAGGATCTACGCGGATCGAGGGGCAAGGCGTAGGTAGATCGGAATGTATAGGTATAGACAAGTGGCGGAATTTTGGCTTTTTTATATCGCAATTTGTAAACAGCGCTTATTTGTAAACAACCACCGTTTTTAGAGAGGTATTTTAGATAACAATCGATATTTAGAAATGTTTTGACACCCTGGAAATACTACCACCGAGCATGTCATTGTTGCAACTTGCAACTGCGTTAATACGCCTGGCGGTGACCGCCTCATACTCTTTCAGAGATTTACCAATAAAATAAAGAAACCTGTTATTTTTAAGCTGTTATTTTAAGCTGTTTTTTTATAAATAACTATACCAGTTTCAACTGTTATCTAAAAATAACAGTTTTGCCCATCACTAACACACTGGGTATTTTGAGTCATTCGTTACGAACCGCAAGTTATAATTTCAATTAAACCATATGCGAAAATGTCAAAAGTTGACATACATATGATATGTCATTCTATTCAGACTGTTAGTTTCTATCGAATAAAGTAAAAAAATACCGAGGGTACCATTTAAAAATCAAAAGTTTTAGTCATTTCCGGTGAAACAGGAAGTGACCGAAAACAATTAAATACGTCAATCAATCTTAATTTATGTTATATACTAACATATACCAAATCTCGCTTTTTTTAATTGAAAAAAATAGAAAAGTTATAGGGGTGAGCCACTTTTGAGATGCACCCGGTATAAGCTTGGTGCATTCTCTGCTGGTGCTGAGAATAACTTACAGCAGGCTAAACAAATACACGGGTTTAAAGAGTAAATACAAGAAAAATTTGTTATATAATTATTCTAAAAATGTTAGGAAGTATAATTTGAAAATTCTAAAAAAAATAAAAAGTAAATATTTTGATAATTCAAAAGGTCTAACTTGGTATTATAATTTATTATTCAAGCTAAGAAAACCTTTTACAGGATTTCAACTAGAGTAACGAGCATAGTTTTGCTAGTGGGACATAATTGGGAATATTTAGGCTATAATGAAATTTTTAGAGGTACAAAATTAGAATTTTAGAAGATGAAACTCAGTAATTTAAAAAAAAACATAATTTATATCGCTAAAAGTCTTAAAAATGGTGCTTTATGAAGTCATGGCCAACTATGGTTACCATTTAAAAAACATATTTGTGTCATATGTCAAAAATGACAGGCTTTAGAAAAAAAAACAGAGGACACAATATCATTAAGGATGTGATTATCTACAACTTTTATCTGAAAACTTTTGTCTAAAGTAGATTATATATTAATATCTAGTAAGCCATAAACATTTTCAAAAATCCGAAAGGCGCATATTTATGACCCTACAAAACTGCAATTCTTTTCCTATTTAACCGACTCTCTAACTCTAGTAGTTTCCGAAATACCCATAGTGACCATCGTAGAAAACTCACCCTGTACAAAATGACAGCGATCTTCATTTCATAGTCATCGCTGACACCGTTTTTTTTTCGATCATATTGTATAATGTGATCCAAGTTTGCCCAATAAGTCAGGCAGAAAAAAATGACAGAAAAATGTGTAGTAAAATGTGTGAATTAAAATACCACTGTCACTGTCAGGGATCCTCCCGTTGGACAGTCTAGGTATTTCTTTCTTTGTTTATAAATTAATATTTTCTTTAATAAATTATTATAGCTAATCTAGGTATCGGAATGCCAATGTTGGCATCCAGCTACATCCCCAAAGGCGTACAGGTATTCCTGCAATCCGAAAACGGGATTTTGGGTTTGGGACCATTCCCAGCTCCAGAATGCGTTGACGCCGACCTAATCAACGCTGGAAAGGAAACCGTAACCGTTGTTCCCGGAGCGTCATTCTTCAGCAGCGACGAAAGCTTCTCAATGATACGCGGAGGCCATATCGACTTAACCATTCTAGGAGCCATGGAGGTGTCCCAATACGGTGACCTAGCTAACTGGATGATACCAGGAAAGCTAGTGAAAGGTATGGGCGGAGCCATGGATCTGGTAGCGGCTCCTGGTACTAAAGTGGTTGTATGTATGGAGCACTCGGCGAAGGATGGGGGTAAGAAGATTTTGGAGAACTGTACGTTACCCTTGACTGGTAGGGGGGTGGTTGATCTGATTATAACGGAGAAGGCAGTTTTTACTGTGGATAAGGAAGAAGGATTAACGTTGATCGAGTTGGCTGAAGGTGTGGGAGTTGAAGATATTTTGGCATCGACAGGGTGCAACTTCCGGGTAGCTGAGGATCTGAAACCTATGGGTCAAGTGGAAGATAAGTGTTAAATAATCGAATATATTTGTTGTAAATAAAAATGTTATAAAAAGGGGTGAATATTATTTATTTCTGTTTATTTCTGTTACCTTTTAAGACCAGTGGCGGCGTTGGATTAATAAAATACTTAAAAAAAAGTATTTTAATAATCCAAGTAGACAATGGACACATTTGACGTACAAAATTATGCAGAGCATATCTTGGCTGTTCAAACAATGAGATATAGTTAGTATAGAGGCTTAGGCATTACGGGATATTACCAATGTAGTTTGTGGACTTGCTAGCGTAAGTATTTTTATAGCAGTCATTTTTATACAGCGGTCCATTTTATCAGTGGCGTATACAACGGGATGTAATAAGTAACTGCAATTTTACCAACACAATAAAGTTTTTCTCTTTTTTTTATTACAGTCTTTAAATTTGAAGTTTAAAAATAAAGTATATAAAAAATGCAACAGGTAAAAAAATAATTAGAGCAATTTAAAAAAAGAACTAAATTTAGGTAAAAAAAACAAAGTTGTGAACACGTCTGTTAGATGAAATAGTAGACAAGGCCAACAAAAAATTTTATTGAGTGCCTTACAACCACATAATCAGTGTTCATTTTTATAAGCATTTTCACTAAAATGACGAACACACGATGTTAATTTAGTATTAATATTCAAAATATGCTTTGGAGGTCCTCCTTCAATAGTTTTTAATTTTTCTGAATTATTAGAACTGAAGGACGATTGCAAAATTATTGCTATTTTACAGCCGCACTTAAAATCGGTCATAGTTTTTATTTTATACCGCGAAGGGGATGTTTAATAAACCGCATCACCCACCGACTAAAACAGCGAACGGGAGACATAATCTCGGCCGGAAAGTTCACTGACCCCAGCTCGCGTTCGCCGGTGTTCGAGACGTAGGTAAGTGTACACAGAAAGCAATTAAGTGTTGGACGATGCTATGCTATGCAATGCTATGGCGTTATCGCTTGCTATATTTTCATCGTGTTCAAACAGGAGGCAATGAAAAACGATTTAGTTAGTAGTTTGATGTGCAACAAGCACCCTGGATGCTACAAACTTGATATTATTAGAGAATTCGCTTTTAAGATACGTTTTTTTAAAGATTAACAAAAAAAGGCAATGGATACATGAAATTAATCGAGATCGGGTGATATACGGCGAATTTCATCATTTGTTTCCCGAATTAACCATTTATCCTGATAAATTTCAACAGTATTTCCGAATGTCATTAGAGACGTTTAGGCTTTGGTTTAGGTATATTGAAAATGGTGTAGCACCATTACTGGAAAAGGCGACTACAAATTGGAGGTTGCCAATCAGTGTCGAAGAACGACTTGCAGTAACTTTACGGTAAGAAACAAAATAGATGCTAATTATTGTGCTGTTTACTTAGTTTAATACTTCATTTACATCTTTGTATAAGAGTGGTTTGTGTCTGAAGAATAAGAAGGCGAAACCAATGGTGTTCCAATCCAACAGCTTCGTTTGTTTGAATCTGTTGAGGTTTCATCGTGGCATGAGCGTTTCATCTCCTGCATCTTGAGCGAATAAAAACAAACATGTTTGAAAATCAAACCGACGCGCCATATCGCACTGCATAGCATATAGCGAAGCATCGCGCTTTTCTCACTAAAGATTATGAGTTTAAAATAAACGCGACGCGTCGCATTGCATCGCATAGCTTTCTGTGTGAACTTACACTAACGGGGACAGTCGCATCATCGCGCATCGTTATACAGGGTGTTTCAAAAAACATGTGCCATCTGTCGTGGGGAGATTCCTCACTAAAAAATAAGATATATTTTTGATATCAACATAGGTCCGATTCTGCTTTGTTTCGTATAGCTACAGGTCAATAGCCTTTCGTATAGCTACAGGTGTTAGTCTTATTATTTTTTCGATTTATTATAATTTTCTTCCAAGTACTTTTAGCGTTTCGAATGAAATTTTGAGGATAAAAGTTACTATAAACGCGACATATTTTGAAGCTAAAAAAGTGTCGACATATTCACCAAGGACGTGCATATGGGTTATCACTGGAATATTTTTCTAAAAAAAGCATGTACGCCACTGACTTGGTTTTCTCTTGTTAGTGAAATAGTGTAAACAGTTTAGTGCCGATTAAAAGTTGTCTCTTGATATTTTGTCGATTTCGGCCTCCTTGATGAGATAAATGCAATTTTATTAATTTACCTTGACCCAAGTCTAATAGCAACCTTTAAAAAAATTTAATATCATTAACTTGCGAAAGCTTTAAATAAGTACTCATTGATTCCTCATCAAAAAATATAAAAAAAAAGTTCTTATAAACATAAGTATGGAAATACATAGTTTTAGAGTTACAGGATGTTAAAACTTTTTAAAATTAGTTTTTTTGTAAGTATCTTAAATACCATTATTTTTTATTTGAAATTGCTGTAGGTTGGACTAATAGTCAATAATATTTAATAATAAATATTAGACTTTAACACTCTGTAGCTACGAAACAAAGCAGAATCTGACCTATGTTGATATGAAAAATAAATTTTATTTTTACATGAGGAATCTCCCCACGAGAGATGGCACATGTTTTTTGAAACACCCTATTTAGATAGCGCGAGATATTTTTAGCGTTTGAACATCGTTTTTTTTTGCGAAAAGGAAACTCATAGACTTGTTCCTGAGGTCGAAATACACCACCCTGAAAATATTTGAACTTATTTAAGAGTCAATTAAAACTTATAACGCACTTGAAATTAAATATAAAGTTGTGATATACAGGATGTACAGGGTGGATCAAATTCGACGCTTTTAAATGGAAACACCCTTTTCTATAGGAGATAGACAAAAACTAATATTGGTGTCTGGAGCTCAATTTTTGTCAAAAACATGATGGTGAAAACCGCATATCGATATCTGTTACCGTTTCGGAGTTACGGGGTGTTTTTCAAAAATATGCATTTTTAACAAATCACTGTAACTTTTTTGCTATGGAAAATTTTGTATTTTTATGAAAACATTTCCAAAGCACCTTTTTACGTAGAATTTAATGGTTTAAGTATAATTTTTTTAAAATTAATAATTTAAGAATTATCAACAGAAAATTTGATTTTTTATATGGGACACCCTGTATATTTTTAATTTATTGAAAAAAAATTAAAATTACCTTTCCAAAAATATAACACAGTTGATATTTTGTTCGATTCCTCTTCGAGATATAGAGTATATAAAAATTCGCCTACTTTAAATAAGTAGGCTTTGAACGGCACCGGCTGTAATGCAAAAAAATTCAAGCTGTGAGCACCAATTAAAAAGAAAATAATATTTGCTATGAGAGATGCAGAATTTTATAACAATTTAAAATATATTTAACCAACATCAACACATTTAAACTATATCTAATAACAATAAAAATAAATAGCAAATCAAGACATGAGATTTTGCTACAGGTGTTCGACATATCGACCTTATATCTGTTATGGACAGACAGGGCAGTTTTTGAACATTTCTCGCGGAATTCATTAACTCAGTGGGGGTGAAAGATACCCTTTCATAACTGCTAAGTATTTTTAATTCTTGTCTAGATTATACGGAAGAATAAGGAACCTTTATTCGCAAATATATCCATAGTATTAGATCCATGGGCTCTAAGTCAGGCGGCCTCGACGGCCAACGGCTGGGATCTTGGTTAGCTATCCAATTATTCTTGAAATTGGCTGCAAAAATTTGCTAATAACTTCAGCGTTCAGAGGCGGTGCGTCGTCTTGCTGGAAAAATATGTCTTCGAGTTCCATTAAGGGCATATCATCAATAATTAATGGGTCCAAAGCCTACTAATTAAAAGTGGCGAACTTTTAAAAATTCTGTATTTCGAAGGGGATTATAACAAAATATCAAGTGTGCTATATTTTTGGAAAGGAAATTTTAAATTCTCTTCGGTTAATTAAAAATATAGAGGGTGTCCCAAATAAAAAATCAATTTTTCTGTTGATAACTCTTAAATTATTAATGTTAAAAAAATTATACTTAAACCATTAAATTCTACGTAAAAAGGTGCTTTGGAAATGTTTTCTTAGAAATACAAAATTTTCCTTAACAAAAAAGTTACAGCGATTTGTTAAAAATGCACATTTTTGAAAAATACCCCGTAACTCCGAAACGGTAACAGATATTGATATGCGGTTTTCACTATCATATTTTTGATGAAAATTGAGCTCAGACACCGATATTAGTTTTCGTCTATCTTCTATAGAAAAGGGTGTTTCCATTTAAAAGCGTCGAATTTGACCCACCCTGTACATAAATGCACATGGTATATTTTCTCTCCATGTGAGTTGTTATTTCTACAATACATCGAAGAAACCATTTATCTACACGACGCGACGCAGGCTATAGGCTTTGAAACACACACTTTTATCTAATCAGGATGTGGTTTTATCAAAGTTGAACAAGACGTTGTGTGCGACCTTCTCTGACTTTATCGCTGTTTGTATACTTTACTTTAACACAGTTTTTACTCATCATATTAAAATTAAAATACAGAAAATAAATTTATTTTATTATATTTTATTTATTATATTAAACTCAATAAAAGTTATATACTTTATTTATAAGTATCTAAATAGGTTTTCAATAAGAGAATTAAGTACATAATATATGACCGGTACTATATTAGCCAATGAACTTTACAGAAAACACTATTGGAGTGAATGAAATATGAGCAATATTTTTTAATGAAATAACAGCAATCGCCTTCTGAATTTTGTCTTATTTCATTTACACTCTGTATATTAAAACTTTATATAATTTTTCCAAATATGTTGTGTGCATGATGTCTCTATTAATAATATATAGCAGGTATTGATAAATAAAATTTACATGTAGCTCCTGTATAACAGATAAGTACCGCCATCTTAGAGTACATCTTAGTGGGTACCCGGCGACAGTACTACTATACTGTCTGATGTATTTTCAGACTTTTTCTAAATGCACTTTTTTGCTATATTAATAGAAGTAGTTCTCGACAGGATTCTGTATACAGTATGTCCCAGGGATTGTCTTTACAAGAGGAAAAACTTTTTTATTATTGAGATTTTGAGAAAATGCATTCTTCATAAGAAATCTTGCTTGTTCTAAAATGGTTAATCTCGTTCATACTTTTCCATATTTCCATGCTATTTTAGGGAAAATTGAAAAAAAAAACATCAAAATATGGTTGAATTTTTTTCTAAGGCCATTATTACACTATTAAATTTATTTGTCAAAGATTTTATTTTGTGAAAGAATTTGACAGTGTAATATGTGTGATTTTATAGAAATTGTATATTAACAATGTCAAATTTTTCATTATTAATTTTGATTAACGTCGTATTTTTTTCTGTTAAAGTATCACATTTTCCGATAACTATTATCACCATTTCCCTCTAGCATTGAACTAAATAAATTTTGTGCTTCTTTAACATTTTAAAACAGCAACAAATATGACGTTAATTAAAATTCTATCAATATCAATCTATCAGAATATGATCAGAATCTATCAAAAGAATGAAAACGAAATTATATTACCATAGAAACACGTTTTGATTTTTAGGACTTCTTTTTTGATTTAAAAATTCCACTATATTTTCATGTTTTTTTTGGTTAATTTTCTCTAAAACAGTATAGAAATTTGGAAAAGTATAAACTGGATTAACCGTTTTAGAACAAGCAAATTTTTTTATGAAGAATGCATTTTCCTTAAAATGTAAATAATAAAAAAGTTTTTTTTTTCTCTTGTAAAGACAATCCGGGAACATACTGTAGATTTCCTTGTTCAGAAACCTTTGTCCGAAACTTATTAGTAGGTATCGCATAAGAACCATAAACAAACTAACAATAATTAATGCAGCTGAAATTAAGTATATAATTATGCTAGGACCCACTCGTATCAACTACTCATATTATGTACCTATATTTCTCAATCAACATACTAATTTATCATAATGTTAATTAAGAGTAGCTTTAGGTTTTGATGGGATCATCATGACCTCAATAGATGTCTGATCTTCTTATTGCCACTATACTTTATTCAGTGAAAGAATTCAACAGCTCTTGTGATATTTTACTAAACTTGGCAACGCTGCCAAAGCCAGGTTACTTATCAATATTTATACATTTACTATGCTTTCAAGGCTGTTTTTGAAAATATTCTGTTGCAGTTGTAATTATCTCCTTAGTCTATGCGGTGTCGAATGATTACGGTTTCGTGGCTATTCTAATATGGCAAATATCGAAAACATAGATAGGGAAGAAAGACGGCATAAAAGGAAGAGGAAGATGCGTAAAATTGCTTGTGAAGAGGAAAAAGTTTTTAATTATATGACTGGAGAATACGAAAAGGTTAAACCTGTTGTTGATCCCAAGTAAGTTATTCATGAATCAGTTTTACAGGCATGCAACTAAAATTAACTTGGTAACTGACAGTGTTGCGAGGTCATTTTAAATTTTATCTGAAGATTTTTTAAAAAGAAGTACAAGTACGTCTGTTCGTTCTGTAGTTACGGGGTATCCGTGAGCGGGGAAACGATATTCTCTCGATGATTTTCGTAAAAAATTAGAGGACGCGTCCCATCAATAAAAATTCGACAAATTTGCAAGTAGCCAATATAATGAGTGGGCGGAGCGATTTGCGGTGACGTACTCGTCAAGTCGACGTATAAAATATATTGCTGTTTATTTAAATGTTTTTTGTCCGCATTCCTTTCATAGACACAGATCCAGCAGACGCACTTTTAAACAATAATTAATAAAACTTAATATTAATTAATCAATTAATTTAATAAGCAAATTTTAAAAGTTTCCAGTATCTATTAGATATACAGGGTGGCCCGATAATTGTATTCGGGAAACTTCGGCAAGTTATTTTGTAGATAAAAATAAGTAAAACAGTTCGTATAAATTGATGTCCTAAAATGCTTCGTTTCGGAGATACAGGGTGTATAGAAGTTTCATTTTTTTTTCTTTTTTTCCAAATAATTTCTGAACTATATAAGGTAGTTGATATTTGGATAAAAATTGACGTCTGGGTGTTTTTGATGTCAATATGATTCCCATTTGTAGGGGGCGCCACCTACATGTCTTTTGACTGTTTTGAAGACTAATAACTTTTTGTCCGTACCTGTATAAAACTACCGAAAAAATAAAAAATTGGTAAAAATCGCTTGAAAATTGCCATGGCGACACCAGCCATCTTGATTGCAATTTTATTTAAAAATAGCATTTTATTCAAAATCTGAGATAGATAGGTATAGAAAACCCTAATATAGTTTGAAAGAGCATTTGAATATGCTTTGATTTATTTAAAAAATTACAGGCTGTTGCATTTGAAATAACAAAGTTTTTATGTAAAATAAATCCTTAAAATAGATCACTAATTTTTGGTACCCCTGTATAAATATAAGAAAGCAATAAAATTTTTCAGTAAAGTTTATTTCACAAGAATTAATTCTGAAAAGTAATGTACAGGGTATTGATACGCAATTCTCTACTAGCCAGCATATTTAAATATCTTTAAATATCTCAAAAACTAGTGATTTTAAACATATTTAACCCTTATAAGAAATGTAATTTTTTGGGCCCAACAATTCAAAAATGAAATAAAATACCGGGTGTTCCATAAGAAAAAATATAACTTTGGTATGGATCTTAGTTCTGAGACGCCCTGTATATTTCAAAATAATTTTAAATTGTGCACATTGACTCCCCACATATACCCATAAAATATTTTGTTTCTTCATCTTTCCATTTTTGTATAATCAACCGAGGCGAATGAGGTGCGCCACCCTGTATAACAAAATTTGTTAAAAATTAGATGGAAAAAGTTGAGATAAATTCAATTCATTTGGAAGATATAACAAATAACTGATAAACGTGGAATATCATGATAAGCTAAATAAGAAGAAAGTAATCTGTTATATTTTAAATGTTTACATTTTAAGTATATGAAGGAATATATGAAAAATATACAGGGTGAGTCCTAAATAAATGGAAATATTTTCATGGCTGGTAGATCTCGATAAAAGAAACATATTTTCTCTTTACCGTTTTTCAAAATAAAAAGTCCAAAATAACTAAGATATTTTACTTTTGAAAATGTAAAAAAATGTTTTTCTTTAAATTTTGAGAACCACTGGATTTTTTCTGGGTTTTCTTAAAAAAAAGTTATATACCTACTACCTATTTTACCATATTATGAAGATATGTTTTTTAACTAAAAATTTAAAAAATTGGCGCCGTTGTTGGTAGGCAGTTCTTTTAGTTTCAAAGTAAAGGAATTTTTCCAATTTTGGTCCGCGGTTACTTCCCCTATCCGCCACCTGGGGTCGCGGCCGATGGGAGTTTGGAGTTCTCCACACGGATTTTCTCAAAAACGGACTACGGAAACACGGAATATCTCAAAAACTGCGACTTTGACTGATTTTGATATTATTCCTAATCTTAAATTGACAACCGCGTTTCGCTAGCTACTATAATTTTGGAGTTACGATTTTTATAACCCCCTCCCATACCCCCTTACCAACCCCCCACCCCCACCCAAAGCTAATGGCCAGATTCTCGGGTGCCACAGTATTTTTGTGCCAAATTTGGTTAAAATCGGTTTAGCGTGTTATCGTGTTACAGACAGACGGACAGACAGACAGACACCATGAAAATATTTTGTATTTAGGTCATTTATTTATGACCCAATTGACTCAAATAACTCATTTTGAGTGAAATTAAAAAAACTTTTTTTTGCGGATCTTAATAGCCTTCCATACCTGTTGGTATAGTCGGCTAAAAATTTCCAAGAAATTCAAAATTTTCAAAAAAAAATTCGCGACAAAAACCTCATAAACATGTTTCTGGGATCGAAATATACTACCCCTAAAAATATTTGCACTTATTTAAGACTCACCCTGTATAAAAATTTAGTGCTAATAATCTAAAATTTGAAATATCAGGGTGGGAGCCCATGTGAACATAAAACAATTTTTTCAAGAAGTTGTTTAAATTCAGTTAATTAAACAGTTTTCAATTGTACGTCCGGATTGCACAACGACCTTAGCGCGTGGCCGCGGGCAGCCCAGTAGGCAAGCGAGACAGCGACGCGCCGATTTAACAAAATAAATAATTTTAAACCTGCCGTCATTTCGTTAATAATTATCGCATCGTGTTGATTTGTGCATAGAAATACTCATGAGTCTTTAGCGCTTCCGACAAGCCTAAATAACTGGATTATTTTTTATATTTTTGATTTGTTTACATTGCCCGAGCATATTATAACTTTGAGATAAAAATCTCTGTTATAAATTTTAAAACTGACAGATATGAATACTATCATTTAATTAGTTATACATTTAGTTACAAAATATTCAAAATTTTGGTCTATCGGTTTATGCTAGTACCAATAATGAGTATAAATAAAAAAATGGTCAGTACAACGCTCGCCGTTTTTAGCGCACGTTCAGCTTTGGTTTTAGTTTTAGCGCTATTTTTACAGAAAATAAATTCTGAACTTTGATCAAATGACAAGAACATTATCATTGACTCCCCACATATACCCATAAAATATTTTGTTTCTTCATCTTTCCGTTTTTGTATAATCAACCGAGGCGAATGAGGTGCGCCACCCTGTATAACAAAATTTGTTAAAAATTAGATGGAAAAAGTTGAGATAAATTCAATTCATTTGGAAGATATAACAAATAACTGATAAACGTGGAATATCATGATAAGCTAAATAAGAAGAAAGTAATCTGTTATATTTTAAATGTTTACATTTTAAGTATATGAAGGAATATATGAAAAATATACAGGATGAGTCCTAAATAAATGGAAATATTTTCAGGGCTGATAGATCTCGATAAAAGAAACATATTTTCTCTTTACCGTTTTTCAAAATAAAAAGCCCAAAATAACTAAGATATTTTACTTTTGAAAATGCAAAAAAAATGTTTTTCTTTAAATTTTGAGAAACCACTGGATTTTTTCTGGGTTTTCTTAAAAATAAGTTATATACCTACTACCTATTTTACCATATTATGAAGATATGTTTTTTAACTAAAAATTTAAAAAATTGGCGCCGTTGTTGGTAGGCAGTTCTTTTAGTTTCAAAGTAAAGGAATTTTTCCAATTTTGGTCCGCGGTTACTTCCCCTATCCGCCACCTGGGGTCGCGGCCGATGGTAGTTTGGAGTTCTCCACACGGATTTTCTCAAAAACGGACTACGGAAACACGGAATATCTCAAAAACTGCGACTTTGACTGATTTTGATATTATTCCTAATCTTAAATTGACAACCGCGTTTCGCTAGCTACTATAATTTTGTAGTTACGATTTTTTAAAATTTATAACCCCCTCCCATACCCCCTTACCAACCCCCCACCCCCACCCAAAGGTAATGGCCAGATTCTCGGGTGCCACAGTATTTTTGTGCCAAATTTGGTTAAAATCGGTTTAGCGTGTTATCGTGTTACAGACAGACGGACAGACAGACAGACACCATGAAAATATTTTGTATTTAGGTCATTTATTTATGACCCAATTGACCCAAATAACTCATTTTGAGTGAAATTAAAAAAACTTTTTTTGCGGATCTTAATAGCCTTCCATACCTGTTGGTATGGTCAGCTAAAAATTTCCAAGAAATTCAAAATTTTCAAAAAAAAATTCGCGACAAAAACCTCATAAACGTGTTTCTCGGATCGAAATATACTACCCCTAAAAATATTTGCACTTATTTAAGACTCACCCTGTATAAAAATTTAGTGCTAATAATCTAAAATTTGAAATATCAGGGTGGGAGCCCATGTGAACATAAAACATTTTTTTCAAGAAGTTGTTTAAATTCAGTTAATTAAACAGTTTTCAATTGATTGGATTGCCCAACGACCTTAGCGCGTGCCCGCGGACAGCGACGCGCCGATTTAACAAAATAAATAATTTTAAACCTGCCGTCATTTCGTTAATAATTATCGCATCATGTTGATTTTTGCATAGAAATACTCATGAGTCTTTAGCGCTTCCGACAAGCCTAAATAACTGGATTATTTTTTATATTTTTGATTTGTTTACATTGCCCGAGCATATTATAACTTTGAGATAAAAATCTCTGTTATAAATTTTAAAACTGACAGATATGAATACTATCATTTAATTAGTTAAACATTTAGTTACAAAATATTCAAAATTTTGGTCTATCGGTTTATGCTAGCAGTAATAACGAGTATAAATAAAAAAATGGTCAGTACAACGCTCGCCGTTTTTAGCGCACGTTCAGCTTTGGTTTTAGTTTTAGCGCTATTTTTACAGAAAATAAATTCTGAACTTTGATCAAATGACAAGAACATTATCATTGCCGATATCTCCTGGTTATAATGTAGTT